ATGTGTGCAAGCATGTTTTCCATGTGCATGCAATAAAGTAGAATTAAAACGTAAAGCAACATAAAGGAGTTAATTCTCTGTAAGACTTCATTCCTGGTCCTAGGGAAGGGAATGCATCTTCCCTGGGACAGAAAGCAAGATCCAGATAATACAAGCACCAAAGGATCACTTCTTTCATGTCAGGAAAGAAACATTTTCTACCATGGCACATGTATTGCACCCCCCGTTCAGTTTTCTGTAATCTGCATAATTAGCTGATTACTGCACGACTGGAAGGACTGGAATTAGGTGGGTCCTTTTGTAACCATTATGACACTAAGTTGAAGGAAGAGGAGGAGCTGCAGCAGTCCTAATTTTACCTGAAATACTGGACTTGGACAGCTATGTGAGAACCCTGAGCAGCACAATCCCCTAGAGAAGGGTCCCCCTCCAAACCAGTGTCACAGCTGACTGGTACACTGCTGCTTTCAGTCTTTTTTGGTCTTTCAATTTTGCTTTTCATCGCTTTGTTTTGACCTCTGCCCATCATCTCTTTATCTTTGGTTTCTTCAGTCACTTGTCATTTATTCAAAGAGCTGAATGTCAGATCATCTGATCTGCCTTGTGTGCCATAGGCCCTGAAATCTCTTGTACCAGCCCAAGTAATTTCTTTTAGACCAAGGCATATTTTCTGTCAGCTTAAAGCATATAATTAAATCTGGAGTCACACAACTTTAGAAGATAAAGAACTTCCTGTTCAGTTATCAGAAAAGCATCTTGTAAGGGGCCTGTGGCTGGAAGAAGATTGAGTGCAGTAGGAACCAGAGGTGGGGATGGGACAGCCTAACTAGGAGAGGATTTATTTAAAAGTGGTTGAGTTACAGTAAGATGGGACTATGCACATTTGAAGCAGGTCATATTTTTATAGTAAAAATAAAACTAATAAAGACAATTTTTTCCCCTCAGGAAAAAGGTGGGTTATTAATTACAATATTTTTTTACTGGTAATGATTTGGAGAGCCTGTGAGAAAAGGAAGAAATGGCAGTAAGCTCAATACTTAAAATGTTTCAATTGACAGCCAGAGAAGGTTTAGTCTTGAGAAAACATAAATGAAGTGTAAACAATCCTTATTACAGGTTGGGATCTGACCTCAGTTAAACCAGTACATTCCTACTATCTCTAAAAAGTAACACAAAAAAATGTATAAAACTATCTAATATCTGAGATTCAGCAGTCTGCAGAAGAAAACTACATTTTTATGTAAAAATCAGTGCAACAGCTGCACAAGTATAAAAACTTAAAGTTCCATTTTACAAATTTAAATAATGAGACCCAGGATAACTCTATGCAAAAGCCAGGGAAGCTCTATACAAAGTCAGTGGCAAGGTGGAGATTTGAATTTGGAAGAGATGAGCTGCTTGCCATTTTCTGTGCTATAAAGTGTTATAAAGTGTGCTTGTGCTTATCCTCTCAGCAACAACAGTGCTGGAGTTTTAAAGAAAGGCTGACATGCCCAAACTACACATATACAGAAAAACCTCAGGAGGAAGGCAACATTTCCTTTTAAAATTGCTTCTAACAATGCCTCGGTATAATTACACAGGCTCCAGACTGAGGTTTGGAAGAATGTTAACTCTCCTGTCAATTAAAAACCTCCTTTTGTATCCAGCCAATGGGTGGGGTGCCACATTTTAGAGTACAGTGTTCAAGTCAAAACCCCAAAACCTCCATCCAAGGTTTGGTTTGAGTCCTGCAGCATAAACACAAACCACACGGTGTTAGAAACACAAAAATGGATTTATAAAACCGATTTTAAAAGCAGGAAATGAGTGAAAAGCTGATTAGAGCAAAGTGTGAGAAACAGCAGGACTCTGCCTGTTGTAGCAACTTCTATATTAATGGCAGTGCAATTCTGTTGCAATTGCAGTTGTTTCCTAAAATCATAACTCCCTGTGCCCATATCCTCCCTGCAATACCTGTGTGCACTGAGATTGTTGTGAAAGGTCTTGCTGCTCCATCAGTGCCTTTATTTGTAATGGCCACTGTAAACTGCCTGGTCTGCTGGATTCTGTTCCGTCCTTCAGAACCGGAACTCCACGAAACCAAGGATATCATGTTAGTCTGTTAGGCCACTGTCATGGAACTCCCATCACTGCTGGAATTGCCCATGTTTGTTGGAGTGCTTTGTGTACACCCAGATGCTGACAATGCAGCTCACAGCTGCAGTTATGTCAGCACTACTAAATTAGGCAGTACTAACAGCAGTTCACACTTGCTTCCCAGAATTCTTGAGCAGTGTGCTTACTGGGGAATACCGGCTCTTTCAGGGAAGAAGAAAATGTGCTTTCCTTATTTTTAGATATTTTAATTTCTTCAGAATAATTCTCTGTGGAATCACTGACTCCCAACGATTGTGTTCCTTATATAGCAACTTCAGTGATAAATCAGTCAAACCCCTAAAATGTTACAATTTTATTATTTTAGAGTAAAACTTTTATAATTTTAGAGTTAGAACTCATATACCAATGTATAATTCTTTAAAGAAAATACTCTCTTCGGGTATCTATGGCAGCATTCATGGGGGCATGGAATGGTTTGGGTTGGAAGGAACCTTAAAGATCATGTAGTTCCAAGCCCCCTGCCATGGGCAGGGACACCTTCCACTAGACCAGGTTGCTCAGAGCCCCATTAAAAGCATTCTCATGTTTTTCTGCTCTACTTCTATGATTTCCTTAAAATGCTGATCCATCTTTTTTGACAAACAACAATTAAAAATACTGTTTATCCTTTTTGTATTTTAAAACACTTTGTTGCCCACGAAAAGTCAAGAACTGAAATGAAGTTTGCCAGGAAGGAATGAAATGTGAATTCTACAAAGAAATTTTATCTGGAAAAGTGTGTAGGTGTTTTTGGAGGGTGGGAAAACTCTTTTCTCCCCTGGTCTCCGAAAAAGATGTATTTTAAATCCTATATTTCACTAATGATTGTAAAGAAAACAAAAAAACCCTCTCATCAGTTTGATGCTCAGCAATATGAAAACAGAAGTAAGCTACATCAAATGCATCAGTTAACTTCATTCACCTTTGTTTTTCTGTCGAAAGTTTTTTCTTTGAAAGACCCTAGTCAAGTCTGGCCACTCCTTATTTAAAGTTTTATTTAAATTCAGAGTTATCCAATGTATGTATAAAATTGTTAGTTTTGTAACATGACTTTTGTTTCACTACATTTTAGGAGACATTATTCAAAATAATTTTTTTTTTCAGTATTTTCTGCAACACGAAGTAGAATGAGAGAAAGCAAAAAGTTAACACTACTGTAATGGACTCGAAACTCCAACTCCTTGCAATGTGTCAGAGGTGAATCTGAAGAATTCCTTAAGTCTATTTTTATACTCAGTTTGAAAATACTGTGCCATTTTTGCTAGTGCTTGTAAACCTGAGTTTTGGATGAGTTCTTGACCTTTTGGAATAAGTATGACAGTTAAGATAAGCTGATGAATAAATGCTTATCCTGTTTGCAGGAATTAGGGTATTGGTCTCTCACTGAGTGCCATTCTCTGTGTGAAGGGCCTGAGCTGCCCCTAATGTACATGGAGAGAGTTGAGAATTCCCAAGAGCCAATATGATGATTGGGGAATTTCTGTTTTAGCCACGTGGATATGATGAAGCAAGGCAGAGAGGTGTTAACATTTGGCCCCTTTGACCTAAGACTGCAGGGAAGCAGACTCAGAGCTGATGTGCTAATAGCTTTCAGGATATGAGAGATACAGTTTAGAGGCTTTGAAGATGTTTAACCTACTTAGCTCACCTACGAAAAGAATAATCTGATTGCCAGCTTCAGGAGGATTGTAAGCCACTTTAGCAGTCCTCTGCAAAACTTGCTTCAGAGAGATCATTCCTGCTACAAGCAATCCAACTCACCAAGTGTGTGATTTAGCACTTCATTTTGGCTCAAAATCCTCATGTAGTGTGCTCTGGTTCACTTCATAGAGCCGCCTCAGAGCGTGGGATTCCTTTGGGGAAGGAGACAGGAAGGTGTGCTCCAACCACAGCCTTCACCTGTGTGTTCAGACCAAAGCTGTTCCGAAGTAAACCCCTGCAATGTGCTTTGTGCTGAGTATCTGACACCCACACAACGTTTGCCTGACAAAGGGGTGTCACTGGGACGGGTCTGCCTGCACACATCCACAGGCACAGCACACACCTTCCTCCCGGCTCTCTCCTGGCCAACGTGGACTAAATACGTGCTCCTAAAAGTCACACTAAGTTGCTTTTTACATGACTAAGAGACTGAGACATTCTAGATCTTGGCAAAGCTAAAAAAAAGGGTTTTTGCTATTCTGGCAGGAAACTCCGTATGTAGAGAGATAATCCTTTGCTCTGCTGTGTTATTTGCCAAAGCACAATTCCTTCACTGAATTAGATTACCAACTGTTCTGCCCTCCCCCATCTTCTTTATGGGCAGCTTCAAACCTGATGTATAACCTGTGATAGAAAAGAGATCAATTCACTTTACCCATATTCCATTATGCATTGAATAACACCCTTCCTGAGATTCATGCTGCCAATGGATGCAGTAACATTCTCTATCTTCCAAAGGAAGTCATCAGACACACCTCAAGTTGCTAAATTAGTCAGTGCAGGCACAGTTACAGAAAAGCAAATGATAAAATTGAGACCTGATGTAAACAGCTGAAGCTCATGATAATGGGTTAGCTGGTGACAACAGTGATGTAAATATTCTATTAGCAAACAGGTCAGAAAATGGGTGTAATTTTCCTGAGCTTAATCTACAAGGGCTGTTTACTACATACAAATAAAACAGCACTTCTGAGAAAATGGAATAGAATAAAATAATCCAATAGCATAGAGCATAGATTGCTACATTTAATCCTTCTTAACCACAATAAGTAATAAGGAAAAAAAGATTATTTTTTAAAGGACAGGAAAAGTTCTAGTATTTTTATTTTAGAGAAACTGTAAAGACTAATACAACATTAACAAATTAAAAGTGTCTCAGAAAGAAGAGAGTTGACAAACTAGTAACTAATGATGTACTTTCCTTGAATCCCTGAAGCATCTTGATATATATAAATCAGTATCTCATTTTTCAAGATAGATCCTGCACCCTCAGAAAGTGTCCTTAGCTCACTGGACATGAAATGAAGTGCTGCCCACTCTCTTTTTTTTCTTCTTCTGGCTAACAGAAGATCTCTCACCCATTTGAAAAATGATTACTTTTCTGTTCACATCCTCATCAGACCAGTCAGCCATGACTTTGTCACGCTGTGGCGTGTTTTACTCATGATTCCCCTCCGAGGCTGCCCTGAGGCACGAAGCTCATGCTCGTGGTGGTGGCTGGCAGGAACACATTCCAGCTCGCCCCACGTGGCTTCTGTGTGCTCCAGCACTGCACTGAGATGGCTTGGCTTCTTTTTTTGTTTAATTTAAGAAATCCTTTCTAGTTTCGCACCTTCCAGCCCACAGGAATCGTTGTTCCCACCGCTGTGGGCCCGGTCAGACTCCCCCCGGGGGGACTCTGGCCCTCTGCTGCTGTTACAACGTGACTGCTGCTGGGGGAAAATCCCCTTGCACTGGGAGAGAATCCATGGGGAGGCCTTACAGAATATTCTCTGTTGTAGAGACCCGCGGGTGTTTCACTGGCTTCCATGATTCCCAACAAAATTTTAACAAGGAAGAAATCATCAACTAACCTTAAAAACGCTCAGTAGTTTCCCAAGGAAACCTGGGAAAGGTTCAGAGGTAACATGGGGCTCATACCATAAAAGTTACAGTTTAACTTGGCCCTGGCTGTTCTCAAACACTGCTGCCCCTCCGCCACTGTCACTCTCTCAGCTCTAGCATGAATCAAGAATTGCATGCAAAAAGCAAATGAACTGTAAATAAAACACGGTTGTTGGAGTGACAAGTCACAAACACAGCTTTGCAACGTGCCACTTGTGTTGCAGGAAGATATTGTTATGCTGTTTAGCTTAAGTCTGAGGGTAACTAAATTACAATATATAGATGTTTAAGAAAGAATAAACAAAAAAAAGTCAAAAAAACCCCCACCAACCCCCTCTTTATTTATATAACGATAAGTGTTGTCCATTATAGGATGTTCTGTTCTTACGTGGCTTTCAAAAAAAAAATACAGATTGATGTAGTTACTGTTAAAAAAAAAAATCATCCTATTTTCAAGGCTCAAGCCCATAATTTGACTAGAAAGTGCTGGAAATTACAATGTACAATTTCATCAGCATTTGAAAAGGAAAAGCTGTTGCTGTTTCAGTGCTGCAGCGGGTCAGGGTTTTCAACAGCATGGTATGCACATGACAGAACAAATAAAACACCACAGGGAGCATAACTTGTATGCAATACTCGATGTTTTATCATAGAGATATTAACAATCCACCCCTACCATGAAAAAAGCAGAAACAAAACCTAATATTGGCCATACCTTCGGTGGGAATCCTCCTCCATACACTCCCCAGCTACAAAAATGTGCCACAGAGCTTCCTGTTCTGGCCAGAGCAATGCTCCCTCACCTCTGGGGATCCTCAGCAAAATAAGGGTGTCAGGTAGTGGCAGCAAATTGAACAATAATAGTGTGGGCCCCCCCTGAAAAACAACAAGAAAACCCCACCAAATTGACTTTTAGAAATTCTTACATTAAGATATATTCAATCTACATATGATTCTTCAAAATAAACAGCAGTATTTTGGTTAAGTCAATTGCCTTTGGAAGGGAATTGTTCATAATCTGACTTAGTTCAGTTTAGTTTTGCAGGTTTCTCTTCTCTTAAAGATCTAACATGGCTCAACTGTTTTGTTAATTCAGATCCATACTCCTTTTGCTTTCACCAAAGGAGTTCTCTATTTCACACTCCAGTTTTGTATAAAGCTCTGTCTTGGTGAAGTATTTATAGAACTCATGTGTACATTCCTTGTTATGAACTATTTCCTTGGGTAGCAGTGAAAACATAAATTCATGTCTGACCAAAACTGACTGTTTTTACAGAAGTTAAAAAAAAAACCAAAACCAAACCCAAACATTTTCTGAAATTTCCTGTTTTAATTATTCAAGGAGATTTTTTTCCCTTTCCTAAATATATGCAGAGTTGGAATAACCATATATTCCATATGTAGTTACATTCCATAACCACTGTTTAAGGAAAAAGAGCATTGTCTTCATCCATATGTGCATTATAGAATTCTGGGTCTGGGAAAGATCAAGAACTTGATTCAAATGAAAAAAAAAAAACCCACACACGCACTCAAAAAAAACCCATCAGCAAAACCAAAACAGTTTTGAAGGGAGTACATTCCTGGAATTATGTCCACACATAAATAACTTATTCACGTCAGAAATTCCAGTGAACTTTAATCCTCATGTCAGCAAGTGTTGCATGATAAGGATTTCAGATGCTGCAGATGAAGAAAAAACTGAAAAAACCTTGTCTTCTGTTCATCTGGAACTATCATTCACAGCTATATAATTCTCTTGATCAGTGAGGTTTTGTTTCCTCTCCAAAAATTTGTTTAGAGTTCAAGACAAGTCCCTATGCTTGTTTGGCTTCATAAGCTTATTCAAGATTTTATAAGGATGTAAAAAAAAGAAGTCAGGAGTTTGCTCAACAACTTCCTAATTCTAACACAAAATTTACTTTGTTTTCTGAGAGTTTGATGGGCAGGGTATTTGTATAGACATTTTAGTAATTTAACTTTACCTGATGCGACTTTCAGGCTCACATTTGCAGTCTGTATTACATCTGAAGCATTCCCTAAGCAGTCAGCCCATCAGCAGAGCTCCCAACAGGCCATCCTCTCCAGGTGAATGGGATGCAGCCAATCCAAACAGCAGGCTTAGGAAAATCAGCAACATGATTTATGTAATACCTATAAATCAAATACCTATAAATCAAAAGGATTAACATTGTGCTACTACCAGCCAAAAGATTTTTCCTCAGTAGTGGTTTGCTGTTCTGGATGAGAATGATCATACTGCTTGCTTTCTTAAGCTGCTTAGTGTTCAAACAACTGTAATTTGGAATTGGATAAGCCTTTCTCCCATTTTTATGGTGTATTTGATGGTTTATGATCTGCGGATGAAACTGTTCTTCCATGCCTGATCTTTTTTACTCTGTTTCTCTCATGTCCCTTTAGATCCTGCAGTGAGCAAAGGCCCAATTTTACACTGAGTCCTGTGGATCTTTTAAATGCCGTTCTGTCGACTTTAGCATTAACTATTTAACATCCGACTGCTACGATTGACTTGTCACGCTTAGTCTCTAGAATCGACCTGGCTGAGATCAGTGGGAGGTAGTTCACTCTTTGGAGCTGGGAAAAGCCTCAAGGCAGAGTTTCAACAATTTATATTTACAGTCTCTCCACACTAATTAGGCTAGAACAGTGTTTAATACATTAATGTATTAATATGTTTAATAATTAATGTTTCATGCCACACCAGGTCAAGGAACTTTCCATCAGCATAACTTCAGCTGATGAACTACGATTTGGCTGCATTCCTTCCAGTCATGATTAGTGGTATTTTAATCTGTATAATATACTTGTTAAAACCTCCAAAGCTTTTCTCTCTGCAGTCCTACCACACAGGCCACACCAGTTACCACAGTATTTCTGGGACATATGTATAAGACTGGTCAGCTGCACTACTGACATTGTCATCACTAATGCTGCTGGAAAAAAGGAAATGGAATCATAGAATAGCCTAATTTGGAAGGGACCCACAAGCATCATTGAGTCCATCTCTTAGCCCTGCACCGGACACCCCAAAATCCCCCCATGTGCCTGAGAGCATTGTCCTAACACTTCCTGAGCTCTGTCAGGCTTGGTGTGTGACCAGTGCCCTGGGGAGCCCGTTCAGTGCCCGACCACCCTCTGGGGGAAGAACTTTTTCCTAATATCCAACCTAAACCTCCCCTGGCACAGCTTCGTGCCGCTTTCTCGAGTGCTGTCACTGGTCTCCACAGAGCAGAGCTCGGTCCCTGCCCCTCGTGAGGGAGGTGCAGACCACGGTGAGGGCTGACCTCAATCTGTTCCCGGCTGGACAAACCGGGTGCCCTCAGCCGCTTCCTGCGGGGCTTTTCCTCCAGACCCTTCACCATGTTCATTATCAGAACACCAACTGCGTCCACTGCCAGAGAACGGGAAATCCGACCCCTCTCATTTGGGAGAGCACTGCAGGGAGCTGCAAAGCGGCCGTTCCGTGGGCACGGTGTGTGGGACACGCTGCCCGACCAGGGAAGGTGGTTATTGGGGGTCCCAGGGAAGGTGTCCCCGCCCGCACCTGCCGCTGAGAAGGGAATGACAGCACAGCGTCCCTTCTGCCGCCTGCTCGCTGAGGGGCTGTTATCGGGCAAAAGCGTTTTCATACACGTATTTCGTGAGTTCCAACACAAGGAATTCGATGTCCCGGGACTCACAAACGCCCCTCACAGCTGAGCTCAGCCCCGGCCAGCCCTCAGCGCCCAGAGCTCCGCCCCCGCTCAGGGCCCCGCCCCCTCCGCCAGCTGCGTTACGTCACTGGGCGGGACGGCTCCCGCCAGCGCGCTGCCCATGTGAGGCGGCTTCCGGGAGAGTCAACAGGAACCTTAAAGGGCCGCAGCGCCCCGCTGCCCGGAGCGGCGCCCCCGGCCGACGCGGGCTCGTTCGGCTTGCTGTCTGCACACCCGCCCACAAGGCACCGCCCGCACGGAGCGCCCTGAGGCGCTCTCCGGCCCGCTGGGGGCAAAGGGGCGGGGGGGCGGGGCCACAGGCAACCAGCCAATCATCAGCAAAGCGCTTCCCAGCCGGCACCAATCAGAGGCGCCGATCCCCAAAGCGCGCGCGGAGGGCCAATGGGAAGCCCGCGCTGGCCGAGCCCAGGCCGGGCCCCCCCCGGGGCTGCACCCGCGGCCTCCCGCCAGCAGGGGGCGCGCGGGAGCGGCGGCGGCGCGGGGGAGGCGCTCCCGCCGCTCTCGCCGTTCCCGCCGCCGCCGCTGTCGCGACCGCCCCGCCCGCCCCGCCCGCCCCGCCTCCCGCTGCGCTGCCGCGGCCTCACAGCAGGTACGGGCGGGGGGACACACGGACACACACCTCACGTACAGGCACCGCTGCCCTCGCGGGACCCTCCGCCCCGGCGAGCGCGCGGCCCCGCGCCGGGCGGGGGGAGCCGCTGCCGCCCGCCCCGTCCCCGCGGTGCCGCCGCGCCCCGCCGAGGTGCGGCCGCGGGTCGGGCCGTGTGTCCCCCCGGGCGGGGCCCGGGCCGGGCGGGCCCCGGGAGGGCCCCGCGGCGAACAAAGGCGGCGGGCGGGCCCCGCGCCCCGGGGGGGAGCGGGACCCCCCCCGGGGGGGGCGGGCGGGCCCCGCGCCCCGGGGGGGAGCGGGACCGGCGGGGCGGGAGCGCTCCTGTTGCTCCGGGGCTGGAACCAACCCCGGCGGGGCCGAGCGCTGACAGCGGCCGGGCCCGGCCCGTGCCCGCGGCCCCCCGCGATGGCACTGTGGGGGTTTGGGCGCTAAAGCAGCAGCGCGGTGATTTCTGTCCCCCCCCGGCCCGGGGCAGCCGTGCCCCGCGCTGGGTGCTCGGGCGGCCCGGGGTGTTCTGGTGCGGAAAGTCAGAACTGTATTGCAGGAAGTGGAAAAAAACGCCAAACCAAACCAGCCCCAGAAACAAAACAGGCAGCGAAACTCAAATATTGTCGATTGCGGTCGTCAGAGTTGGTTAGCAAAGGTCATCTCGGTGTAAATCCTGGGGGTGGATCTGGATTTGTTGGTAAGATGCTCCTTCTTCGGCTTGTTTTTTGGGTCTGTTCTGTATTAAAATATTTGAAGGAACTGTAAACCGAAGTCTTCCAGCCCTGCTCCTTAATTTTCCTGCTGGGGAAATGAAGTGACTTCACAAAGCGTCTTTGTTCTCTCTTGTTTCTTGCGTGAATTTAAGAAAAAATGTAGCAAAGCAGTGAAAATTGAAAGCAAACCTCGAACAGTATCTTATTATTTTGTGGGTAGGGAGCGAGTGGGAGGAGATGCAACTAAATACTGAAGGTAAATAAAGAGCGGGGAATGAATAGGTGTTAAACCATTGCTATATATTCAGTTCTATTTTATTCAGGTATTTCCTTTAGAATACAGAAAAGTTCGTTTCTCTTTTCAGAAATAAAAACTGTGTTATTAAGTGGCTTTTTGAGCTGACATAACAGAGTTCTGTGATTGTGAGCAGAAGTATTAGATGAAGCAGAGGAGTTAACTGAGAGCTGTTGGAACGTGTGTTGTGTACTGTTTTTCCTGTTTCTCCCCCAGCATCTTGCATGCTTGAAGTCTCTTATATAACAGCCCAGTGATGCATGAACATGAACATAAAATCTTTTGTGCTTTTGCTGTCTGAGGAAGCTGTTTCTATAAAGATTTTGCGTTAAGGTATCTATTTTGCCTTCCTTATTTTGGTGCCAGTCCAAGTCTGGTGAGCAGTTTTCAATCTCTGTAAGGCATGCTTTAGTTTGCACTGTTGTTTATTATCTGTAATTACGAGTTCAAACTGTCAGAGGGTTAGGCTGGGCAATAAAATGGCTTTGACAAGTCTGCTTTGGTCAGGCTTATTCTGTGATGGGCAGGTGCTCGGTGGGCAGGTGGATTCTTGGCTGGGTTGGAGCTGGTGGTAGTGGAGATGTTCGTCTCAGTGGCATCTATCTAGGAAGCAGTTTGGGTGTAGCTGCATTTGTGCCACTTCCCACTTGCCTCTGCCAAGGCACAGGCCTGCTTTCCTGTGCCCCTGGGGTGGGAATTACATGTAAATAGCTTTTGGATCCAGCTGCCTGAATGCATTATGCTTATTGCTGCTGCTGCTGGTGCAGGAGGTACCAGCAGAGAGAGGCTTTTACTTCTTAGAGGTGAAAGGGATTTATACTGCCTGCCTTTTGGTCAGGTATTTACTCCTGCTGTTCTGTTTCGATCTTACTCTTCTCTTTGCAGTGTCCCCTTTATTCTGGGACCCAGGGTGTAACTTCTCTGCTCTGGAGTGCAGTTTTCCTATATGGAAACATTGGTGAACTGTTTGTGGTTTTATTTTATGCACAGGCTTGTGCTTTCACAGCTTCTTTCTGAAGTTTTGATGTAGGATGGTGTAGATAATTTCTGACTGAGTGGATTTAATATTTTGGGTTTGTTACCTTCTGACTCTGTAGGAAAGGCTGATGTTACAGAAAGAGGTCTCTTTGTTCGCAGTGATTTCCACTAGACTTGCACCCCTGTCAGGGTTCGTAATTCAGCTGAACCATTGAGGCTGATAGAGATCTATCAACAGCAATCGTGATAAAAATTTCAATGTGCTTTGTACTGTACAAAGATCCAATTTGAGATTTCTGCAACCCAGTAATTGTGTTAATAGTGAACTCAGTGATGCATGGCAAGAGGGTACTCTCCTCTATCTTAAAAGAACACATCTATACACTGCACTTGTTTTTGAAGTTTTAGCTCTGTGGAGAGGGAAATGCAGCGAGGACCACTGGCTTCCAGTTGTTTTTAGCATTTAAGGTGCAGAGAATACTTGTTTGAAATATTTTTAATAGCTGGAGCTGTGAATGTCTATAACAAACAATAACTGAGTTATTTGGTCAGCTGAAGGTTATTAATTCCCAGGGGTGGTAGTTCTGGTCCCTGAATGATGTTATGCATTTTTCTGCTGTTCTCAATTTATCTCCAAATAAGTGATCAGCTAAATGTGTGCAGCAGGAGAAAGGATCAGTCCTGCCCAGTTCTGTCCTTTGGGACTGAATTTTCAACTGGGGGAACTTGTGTGCATGGCAAACTGTAGATGCTTGTTCTCTGGACAAGCTTTACACAGTGTGACCTTGCTTTTTAGAATAACCAAGGCCTGTATTCCTTCTACAGAAAAACTCAGTTCTCTACATTCTGTTTGATCTGTAGAACACAAGTGAATAAATTCAATCCTGGCTTTGCAAGATAATCTGGCAATTGTTGCATTCAAAGCCCTTGTGCCTGAACGTGGCACGTGGCACATGCTAAATATTGGGAATGTTCTTTAAAATGTATTTTGAATGCCTCAGAAGTGCCAAAATACAGAACACAAGGGAACTGTCTTGCCTTGTGCTGGAAGGAAAGCAAAGAACCGATGAGAGGCATAAGTGGCTTTGTGTCACAGAAGTGGAGGGATTCCTGTCCCCCTGAGCTGGCACAAACCTCCTTCCTATCCCCTGTTTGTGTGGCTGGACCAGCATCTGTCACAGAAGGTGTCATTGGCTCCTGGCAGTGGACTTTCTGTCACTTGGCTTCTGTGAAACAGGATGAGTCGAAGCCTGTGATAAAGATGAAACAGTATAAATTGTTCTTTAACATGTTGGGATTTAGGCAGCTCTTTTTTTTTTTTTTATCTCTACTAGGTTTAGTAGATGGAGCTTGTCATGGCCACATAGGCAGTTGGAGAAATACTGCATTTAATGCAACAATCAGTTCTGCCTCTGACCTTAATTACTGATACATTAGTCTGCTTTCTTTTTTTTTTTTTCCTTCAGTTCACATACTATTTTTTTCTTCCTTTAGCTTGTGCCTTTCAGGGAATTGCACAAAGAGTAAAGTAACAGTACAGGTTTTGCTTTTCTGGTAATAGTTACAAGCTACAAAGCAGCATTTAGACTGTTTAAATGTATGTAAGTACATATGTTTATTTGTTTTAAGTTCTGTCCCTGCAAATGGAGGAGAGCTGTTGCTAAGTAGGTGGTGTTTTTTATCTTGGAAAGTGGATGGATGACATTAAAAGTCAAAACATGATTGTTATTTGCCTTGTATATAACTGAGTCTAATGTGTTTCTGGTTGAGAGGATCTAAGGATAATTTGGGTGAAAGAGATACTGTCACAGGTGCTATCTTAAACAATTTTAAGTCTTCTGCAAAATCATCAAATATTGAGGCAATGTGACTGTCAAAGTATTTTAAGAAAAGATAAGTTTTGCCTGAATATCTTTTGGATGCAAATGAGAAGGAAAAAAAATAGAAAACTGCTTCGAATAATAAATTTCAGCACTCACATATGTTCATCACTTGCTCGCTATTCTTTTATATGGGGTGCCAGTTTGTAACACTTCCATTAACTTTATTGTTGTGGAGAAATTGGATCTGCATGTTCTCAAGTTCAATATGTCATTCCTTAATGTTTATGCTAGAGGTGATAAATAAATGCAGTTGTTACAGTGTTGGACTTTTTTCATTTCTTCGCAAATTGGGGTGGAGTTTTGAGGTTGCTTGAAATGAGTAAAGCTGCTCTTAATACTTGTCCAGATTGAGTGGCAAGGTATTACATTGTCAGTTGTTAATTTAGAGGACTAATAGCTAACTACACAGCTCACATCCTGTGACAACACACTTCAAATAGCCTTATCCTGAGGGTTGTACAGATCATTTTAGCTTGTTTAACTTGGATATTTGTAAATCCAGCAAATTAAAGACACGAAGAAAAAAAAAATCACTGTTTCAGACAA